TAATGTCATCTATGCTTGCAAAACGACGGCCCTTTAAGGTTCTCTTTATTTTTGGGAATAGGAAAGTCAGACAGAGGCATGTCTGGCGAATATGGAGGCTGGGGCATCATTACAGTATTGTTTTTGGCCAAAAATTATGCTCAAAATTTAACAATTTTAGAGGAAATTTTGCTGCCAAGCGTTTCATACCCAAAACATTGGAAAAAATTTCATGGGATGAGCTAATCGATATACCAACATCATCAGCGACTTCTCTGATGGTTTATAACCATTTCTTCCCCTTTTCCATGTTTTTATCGGTTGTTAATGTGCTTGTGCGTTCGGGGCGTTTGTCATCTTCAACGTCTTCACGGCCATCTTGGAAACTCTTATACCGCTTGTAAACTCTTGTTTTACTTATAGCAGACTCACTATAGGCCTTTGTTAACATTTCACAGAATTTATTTAATTTTTTAAGCAAAATTGGATACAAATTCTTTGATCCATTTCTTTTAACGAACGCCGAGCTCATAAAACACGTCTAACCTTAACAGCTAAAGTTTTTATCATACTTCGGGGGCATGTATACCAACATAATAAAGAAAATTTTATGACAACAGGACCCTCCGAACCCGCGAAATTTAACAATTTTCCTTATTTTCTGAACACACCTCGTAAGTTTAAAGAAGTTACATAACGTTATATTAACTTCATATTTAACCTTGAAAATATATAAGACTATTTATTTTTTCAGACATATTTTGGTTACTTTGTTAATATTTTTTTAACCAACAAGTTATATTTTACCAAATATATTTTAACTCGCTGGTAAATTAATTAACTGGTTAAAAAGTGATGGTTTTACAGTTTTCATTGTTACCTACATAGAAAAATTAGTCTTAATACAGCTTTATATATAGGTAAATCTCTAGGTTGTGAGTTTTGTGTGATAATGGAGCCTTAAAGAAAAAATTTAAAAAATAAAGACTTTCTTCAACTTACTATAGAAGAGTTAACAAATTTGTAAATAATTATTTATCTACAAATATTAAAACAGCCTCCTCACATTTAATTAATTTGGTAGGCATATATAGGTTTTATCACAGAACAGATGCGATTTAAAAAAATAAAGCAGGGCTGCAACTAAAATCAGAACGTAAGATCGGCGGAATTTTTTTTAGGTTAGTTGTTTTAAAAATAACAAGTTTCTTTAATTTAACTAATTTTGGTAACTAATAACTATAATGTGTTACATTAACCGAATTTAAACCATAACCAAAGAGTTATAAATTACCGATAGGTAAATAAAATACTTAAATTAAACACAGTAAAAGTAAAATAAACAAAAACTCCCAAATATTATCTTTTTTTAAGCAAAAGTTCATTCACCATTCATTAACCATGAAGTTAAATAACTGACATAACTTATTACAAAATATTACTTAAATTAACGTAAATTTAACCTTAATTAAACCAATTGTGCTTCTTTGGCACTTTGACTATGATTTTATCTTTTATATTGACTTTTAAATTTTTTTCATGATTATTCTAAAAAAACTTTCTTTGTGTTTAAAGATAACGTTTTCTTAATGCGTTTAACCTTAAGAAATTGTCGCGTAAGACGTTAAATGAAAAATCCGGTCCTGTTTGGTGTATCATGGTCGAGTTAGCTGTCGGTATTCGACTGGTCGTTTTGTTACATATAATCTCCGGCGTGTATCGTTGTGTGTGATGCTTGTCTCCTCTTTGTCCTTTTTTCAGCTGCCGTCCGTTCGGCAGGCAGTGCTTACTGCGCTTCTTATCTTTCATTAAAGCGACCCAAATGCTGCCATAACTGCTCCCTGCACTCTTATCACTTTTAGAATGAAGCTACTACGGAAATATAGTTCCCACAATAAAAGCGGTTCATTCATAAATACCCTTGGGCTTTGGGGTTATCATAAATATCCTAGGAATGTAAAGAAAAAAATTTTACCATAAAAAATATAATTATTCTAAAAAATAGTTGAGCTCTTATGTGTCAAATAAGTAGTTTATAATTATTTATCTGAAAACTTAAAAGTTTACCGAGTTCCCCAGGGCTCGGTTTTTGGTCCTCTTTTGTTTTTAATTTTTATAAATGACTAAATTTTAACAAAATATTAACCAGATTTTAATTAATACAAACTTTTAGTAGACCCTGTAACAAAAGTATTTTTTGGAAATTGGAAAGAAATGTTGCTTTATTAATCAAGTTTATAAACAAAAAAATTAACACAAAAATAACATACACACAACTAAATATCATAACATTCTAAAATCATCAAATTTTAAAGAAATTTGGTACAATATAATTATCATTACTACTACAACACTGATGTATTTCGTAACTTAAACCTGCTTCACTATATCCACTAATTTCAGTTTGAAAACCAGTGATGGCATCGTTTTTCGGATACTTCACATTTCGCACACTCGTTAAATAGGTATAAGGAATACGAATAACAATAATAACAGATTTCTGGTAATATATTATAAACACTTTGGAGAGTGGTTACGAACGCGTTACAAATTAGAATAAAGTAAGCAGAAACATAAGTTGCAGACGCTGAAGTCAGTTGAACTTGTTGATGCGGCTTGTCAGGTGGAAATGTTTTGATTGACTGCCTGAAATCACGTGTACTTTTACAACGAAATAATTTTTTAAACATTAACAAAATAATCTGTAACCCTTGAAATTAACAACATGCTTACAAATTTGAAAATATGCAAATTTGTAAGCATTTTGTTAATTTCAATATATACAAAACTTTCGGTAAAATTTTACTTTGTTCAAATAATTACGAACCCTGCCCCAGTAGGCACAAATATTGGTCCTAATGGGGCGCGTCTATGCCTAATATTTTATCTAGGGCCAATATTGAATTTATTTAGCCGATGTTAGCCCTATATTGGCATAAAATGATAATTTAATATATCATTGCCAATGTTTATGCAAGGTTGGTCCTATATTGGTATATTATTTTACGCCAATATACACTCACAGGCAAAATAATCGATCCACACAAATTTTCGATGAATTTCAATCGCAAATAACTTTTTTATTTGTCGGATTTAAACGAATATTAAAGAATATTGTAGATAAATTAATGGACAGTCGCTCACAATTTAAAATATTAGTAAAAAATAGACGTACGTTTATAATATACAGGTTTAAACAAAAATATGTTTTTTACCATAAGTTTAAGACACTCTGTAGAGTGGCAAAACCTTATATTGTTCTAAATTAAGTTTTGTTTATCAAGTCACATCTATTCTTAACAGTTTTGTTTTTGGTTCACCTCGATATATTTATTTTTGTGGAAAATATGGATTTTTTTTAAAAACATTTCCAATATTTTTCTGTATGAAGAACTAAGGTTGCTATGGTCCATCCATAGCCTATAGAGGATGACAGTGACAGTTTTGTTGAATCATCCCATACTTGGACATGTCATACACGCCTTTCAAAAGCTATCAAATTGTTTTTTGCAAATTAATGTTTAAATTTTAAGGTGTCTTCTTACTTTAAAAAATGGATGTCTCCGACTGATGTTGCCAGACCCATTAATTTAATCCAGGATGGACCGTCACAGTATTACGTGGCAAGTGTTTTAAACGTCACAAGAAGTAAAGTATAAAGGGGAACATCAGTCGGAGACATTTTTAAAAGTAAGAAGACACCTCAAAATTAACACATTAATTTACAAAAAAACAATTTTATACCTTTTGAAAGCTGTATATGACATGTCCAAGTTTGGGATGATTCAACAAAACTGTCATTGTCATCCTCCATAGGCTATGGATGGACCATAGCAACCTTAGTTCTTCATACAGGAAAATATTGGAAATTGCAATGTTTTTTTAAAAAAATCCATATTTCCCACAAAAATAAATATATCAAGGTGAACCAAAAACAAAACTGTTAAAAATAGATGTGACTTGATAATTAAAACTTAATTTAGAACAATATACGGTTTAGCCACTCTACAGAGTGTCTTAAACTTATGGTTTGTTTCCAGGATATGTCTATACTATAGTGGGACAGGAACGGTTTTAAGTTGGGGGGTGGCGCAAACGACTAGAAGGCTTATTGTTTAGCACCAAATGGGTGAAAATAATAAAGACAATTCTTGCATATTACCGTAAGAATAACAAGGGTAATATGCGATTTCTTATCTTATTAGCAATCCTTATTACGTTAATAAAGCTAAAGTTGATCATTTTAGCACACGATACAAACGATTTAGGCATTTCATCGTAATTAAGAATAACATAGACGGTACACGATTTGTCTTATTGGTAGATTTTTTCAAAGAATTTGGAGGGTACATTTTATATCAAGTAACCCCCCTCTCCCCTTTATCATTTGAATGGGCATTGTAAGTACTATAAACAAACGTGTGTCGAGTCGACACTGTCGACACGATCGTGACATTATGTCACTGACATATCACTTTTAAAAATCCTACTACGTAATAAGTACTAGGTGGCTATCTTTTTTTCTTTCAATTTCTCCCTCAACTTTCCTAGAACATAATGTAAAACAACTTCGGGCCAATGCGGATTTCCAATATCGGTTATATAATGTCAAACAACTTCTGGCCAATATTGGACCATGCTAGAAAAAATCTGACGAAAGATATTTTGGCCCAATATTAATACGAATATTGGGCCAATATCTTTGTGCTACTGGGGTGGTTTTCTACAAAAAATTATGTTAAAATTTTACAAAATAAAATTAACAAACTAAAAACTCATGTTAACAAATCTGATTTTTATAACAGTGCATAAATATAACTTTTGGAGAAGAGGAACATTGGCAAACAGAGTATTAATTATGCAAAAGCCTGCAATAGAAATAATAAAATGCCTGGGTTGGGAAAAAAATTAGCACGTAAAAATTATCTAAATATCTATGATACATAAAATTTCCTTAAAAAGCACTAAAAACGACGATTAAGTAGTATTTAATCTTTAAATTCCAATATTAACAACCTCACCTTAACGAAAAGTACACACTGGTTTCCTTTTTCGTAATAGAACGTATTGACTGACTTATCATTTACAATGTAACTCTAAAGTAGTGGAGATGAAATTAGTTTTCCTCGTTATCATTATCATTATTATTAGTTCCGTTAGTGAAAATATTAATCGGAAAAGGTGAGTCTACACTTTTAACTCTTTTTATAACTTAATTTGTTTTGTTTTTTTTTCGACTGTTAGTTGACGTAGATTACCTACTTTTAATCTGATTTTCAATTTCCCAACCTTTCAAGTATTTCTACTAATTAAATTGGCAGTAAAACAAAAATCTATGATTAAAACAATTATCTACTTAGATATATCCTTTAATTACGCTTAAATGCTATATCCGTCTTAAAATTTTAATGGCCGTATTTTTTCACAGGATGTTGGTTTTACTTAGTTGATTTGTCCCATTAGAATGTTTAACTTTTATGTGCTTTTTTAATAATACCTTTGAAGGATTTTATGGGATAGTTTTGAAGAGTTTTGAATTCAGGTCAGATAAGCCTTGGACAACGTATGTCCTAGTTTATTTTATATACTTAAAGTTTATTTTAAAAACGTCAAATCGGTCAAAATCAAACTTTTTATAATTTTATATTCTATAAATATGATTTAAACCCTTGAATTTGCAAATTGTCATCATTAGCAGTCTTGTAAGGACAAAATGTATGAGATCAAAGGATCCGTTGGATGGTTGTTTTAGAAATGTTTGTAACCACAACTAATTTCCTCGTGATCAAACTTGGATCAGCAATACCTTGTCCTAAAACTCCTACCTAAGTAGTTTTATTTCTGATAGGACGTTCACGTTCAGGTCCAAAAATCTATTTTTTGTCCACAGTAAAAAAACATTTGTTAATTGTAACCAAATATTAACCAGATTTTATGTTAATTCAGATCCACATAACTTTATGTTAATTTTACAACCAACTGTAATGTGTTAACTAATTGAATAAGAATTAAAGGTTTGTAAAATTACAAACATTTTGTAGATTTAATAACAAAATCCAGTCAATAATTCAACCATAATTCTTGTAATTTTTAAGAAGAAACTTATTTTTACAAACCTTTTTGTAGACCCAGTAACAAAAGTATTTGTTGGAAATTAGGAACTTAAATGAAACGAATTTAAAAAAAATCATGTGCATCATCGTACTCGTGGTAGAAGTGAAACTTCTTATAAACTAGGGAATGTGAGAAATTTTAGTTCCCCAACCCTTTCTCTAAGACATAAAATTTAAGGCGTGGGAGGGTCCTGGAAGGGAACTATTTCCCTGGCCCTAAAATCATTCCAGCTCGCGCCTGATCATGTACTGCTGGTTTATTACAATTATTTTAATAATAAAATTTCATATATACCTTATATCATAGGGCAAAATTTATCGAACACAGACACTGCTTAGCAGTGACTGCTATCTAATATAGTAGTTATTAATTTCATCTGAAATAAATTTATATCCTTGGCATAAAAACAGAAGCGAATTTGCTTTTGGCACGCGCCTAAAGAGCGACATGCTTTGAGCGCGCCACGCCTTTGTCTTTTGTCGGCTTTACACCGCGTTATTACAAATAAGCCGCATTACTATAAAATAATAAAAACAGTGGAATATTCGCTACTCTACCTTTGTTAACAATTTTTATTTTTTTAAGTAACTTTAGAATGTCGTTTATTTCACGAAAATGTAAATTTTCCAATAAACGCGACTTAAAAATAGCACGTTTGTTCGATTATAAAAAATCGTATCTCGCTACCCGATTACTTTAGACATATGCGGTTTTAACGGTTTAATTTTTAATAAAATTTGCAATTTTTTGTGTAAATGTTTAAAACCAAACGGCAGCAAGTTTTGTCGAAATGGTGTACAAAATACACCGGCGCGTGTAGTTTTCACCAAATTATTTGCCATCAAGAAATTATTTTTTCAAATTATATACTTGTGTCGCTAAAATTAAGCTTTTTGCCTCGAAATGGGAAAAATTGTTTTAAACCTTTGGATAACATTTGTTATTGTTCTAATTGACGGAATAGAACTATCCGGATATTTAACGGAGAACAGGTCTCTTGTTTGACGTAGAGAATTGCCCACTAAAGACCAGCTTATTATGTCAATTTTCTCTTGCAATGTGTAGGACATTATAACTTTAATTATAATTTTAAAACGCTCGAAATACACACTAGCAAATGCAAAACAAAACTGAATCATCGCCTACGCCGCGCCGGCAATCTGCTTACAATGCATCTGGGAAGGAGCATCTGGGGAGGGGCGATCGGATTCACTCGGGTTCACTAGTTAGCTCTCTTTCTCCTTCTCTCTACTTCATATCTTTTTTCTCTATTGTGTAACGAAATCTCGAAACGTTACATTTTTTCCAATTCACTCTCCATTCTCGTCAAATATCAGAACGCCACCAAATAAGTTTTACTTCAAAAATGTTGCTTTATTAATTAATTTCCTAAACAAAAAATTAACACATATACATACATAAATGAACACAAAAATAACATACACACAATTTAATAACAAACCATTCAAAAATCATCAAATTATAAAGAAAATTGGTACAATATAATATTCAGTAGTACTTCAGTTTGAAAACCAGTGATGGCATCTTTTTTCGGATGCTTCGCACACTCGTTGAATAGGTATAGTGAATCCGAATAACAATAATAACAGATTTCTGATAATATATTATAAACACTCTGGACAGTTGTTACGAACAAGTTACAAATTAGAATAAAGTAAGCATAAACATAAGTTGCAGACGCTGAAGTCAGTTGAACTTGTACCTGTATGCAGGTTATTTTGTTAATGTTTAACAAATTATTTCGTACACGTGATTTCAAAGGTTATAACCTTTCAAATAAACAAAATGCTTACAAAATTGCATATTACCTTTACAAAACTTTTGGTAAAATATTTTCGTTTATTAAAATAATTACAAACCCTGGTTTTCTACAAAAAATTTTGTTAAAATTTTACAAAATAAAATTACAAATAAAACTACAAACTTATTACAACAAATCTGATTTTTATAAGAGTGTATCATTGGCATATTTTTGCTCTTCTTTTAAAGAATGCCAATAATATACTCGTATAACAAGGGGTTACAACAATGAAGGAATGTTTGATATTAAATTTTTCATTTTTAATTTCAGTCAGCTCCCAAAACGACGGCGATCTTTCAGCGCCCTAGTTTTCGCGGGCGCCAACAAAAACAATAACAACAGCGTGAGCACGGAAAACTGTAGGTGGCTGAGAGGGGCGAAACATCAAAGACGCCTGTGCGTTCGCAGGAAGGGGCTGCAGGCCGTCCTGCTGAAGAGCAGGGAGCTGGCGGTGGACTCCTGCCAGAAGGAATTCGAGTAAGTCGTGGAACAGTGAGAATAAATTAATTAATTATTCGTTTAGTTTTATGTAGAATATTATGTATCAAGTTTGATAAACGCCATTTTAGTCACGAATGTTCGAGCGAGTGCTTAATTAAATAAGTGCCTAAAAAAGTTTATAATTGCCCTTTATTATTTTAATTAAACTTAACAACTATTGATAGTATATTAATATTATTAAATATTAAAATAACTTTAAAATATGATTATGTTAAGAAACTATTTTTTTTTATTACTATAATTGCAAAATAGTATCGCAAAGTATTAAAAATTCTTACACGGAAAATGTTAAGTACAAAAATTGACAGTTGTATTTATTGGAATTCCCGTTAGAATTTCTAACTTTGGAATCTACCGGCGCACAGGGGGCCAGCGTAGCCCTATTTTACTGAAAGTTATTTTTCTCTTGTAGAGATTGGTATAAATAAGTTATAAAAGCTAATTTTGATTAAAATATAAAAAATAAATAAATTGGATAATCAGAAACTTAATTATAAAGGGTGTTTTAGGAAATGAGCATAGCCTTTAAAAACTGATTTATTTATTTTTGTTATGTAAACTTAAACTATTATAAAACAATGTTATTTATTACTGCTCATTTTGACTGAAGCATTATGCACTTTCAAATTTATTTACCAAACCTTTTAGACTATAAATTTAAAGGGACTTTATTATAAACTAATACCTAAATGCAGAGATGCAAATTGCCACTTTTTTACGAAATAATAGACCTTTAGCTACACCGAATAAGCAATTAAATAAATTTTCAAAAATACTGGAGTTGGGCCATTTGCATCTTAAGCGGACAAAATACAATAAATACAATTGTTCTTAAGAACAAAACGTATGACCATTTCTTAACTTAAAAAACCTAATTTTCGACACAATTATTCAAATCTATTAAATAATCCGAATCATCATCGTTGCTGTAGTTAGAAGAAGTTTTAAATGACTCAAACATATTAAGTGCTTCTAGGCTTAACATTTTCCAGGTTTATTATATATTTTTGAGATGGCCGAGTATGAATCCAGGGTCTGTTTGGCCCCATAAGATTAGAATCAAGGTCACTTCAAAGACAAATTGAGAGAAAAACACAATGGCGAATACATTTATTATAACTATACGTTTTTAGGGTCGCTGAATCCGAACCCGGGATCAGAGTCAAGGTCATTTCAGGAAAAAATGAGAAGAAAAAAACTTGAAGCGGAGACAACCATTTTAAAATGTTTGACCCTGACATGATGGGGTCAAACAGACCCCAGATTCGTACTCGGCGACCCCAAAACGTATAGTGATAATACTTATCTCCGCTTAAGTGTTTTTTCTTATTATTATGACTTTGCTCCTGACCTGTTGGGGTCAAACGGACTCCGGATTCGGATTAAGCAACCTCAAAAACGTAAAGATATGATAGTCTAGTCTGGTGCACAGAGAACAAGTTTTTTTTGTGGGGCTATGTAATGTATTAATTGACCTTTACGTAAGGATCGCATCGCATCCCTTCATTGAGGGGCAGATTGTGGAAGAATTTTTTTTTATCAAAATAAACTATAACTATTTTATGTTCCAAAAATATTAGTAAGAGAAATATGACAGACCCTCATTTAAAAAAAAGCCTGTGCCAAATTTGAATTAAATATTTTTATCAAATAGAGTTTTCCTTTAAGGTGTGTTTTGGTGATATTGGTTTTGGACCAATATAACTGATTACTTAATACTTACCAAAACTTTTGGTAAGTATTAAGTAATCAGTTATAATAAAAATATGTTGGACTTATTTAATATTAAATGTTATTTCTTGTTTTTATAACTTAGTTATATATTTTTTCGTTGTGGATTTAAGTTAATATATTCAAAATATGTTCTATTTTTAAAATAAAACCGTTAGTTTTGCTATGTAATGATATTTAAAAAAAAATGTTTACAATTTTTCCATCATTTCTCCATTCTAAATTTTGGTAAATATTGTGCTACAACATTGATAAAACAGAGTTTTTTTTTTAATTAACCCTTTAGGACCTGACTTTTTCTTTTTGGTAAAAAAAAATATTTGATATTATTTTCCGTTATTTTCATGTCTTAATAAGTGATAAAAACAGCTTATATGAAATTTTTTAAACTTTTCGAAAAAAAAATTCAAAATTCAAAATTGTACACATATGTGACCATTGGGCTTTTAAGGAGTCAAATAAGGGTTTCGTTGAGATGATAAATATATTTAAAATGTCTATGTTTTTTCCCGTTGAGACCTGTTGTGCACAAATGTGAACATGGATTAAAAACCCTTCAGACCTGATGTGCACATATGGGTACACCCGGTTTTTGGGTTTTTTTACGAGTTACATGCATTGACACACATTGCAAATATATCCAAATGGTAAACAAAGGTATTATTTCATTGCAAAAAAAAAACGGAGATTTATTCGATTTCAATTTTCATATAATAATTACAAAATTTTATCCCTTACCCGGCAGTTGGCCTTCCATCTTGGAATTTGAATTTAAATGAATGATTTCTCTACCAGCTTTGATAGATATGGTATAGATGGCTCCACAAAAATTTAAAAATATTGTACACAAACGTGTACAACGGGTCATAGGATGTCTTTTCAGTAAAAATGTATTTAAAAAAAAACATCAAACGGAGCGTACACAAATGTGACCAAAAGGTCCTAAAGGGTTAAAAATGGGGTTTTTAAAAATTTTCGAAAATTTTGTTTAAAAAATTTACATTTTTGTAAATTGATTATTTGATACATCATCTAAAAGGTCTTTAAATGACCTTTAAAACAAGCAACAATGCTCTGTGACAATCAGTGTCTGAGGTATACCTGTTTTTTTAAAAGCCTGCAGAGGCAAACTCGTAAATTTCTTGATTTTCAAAATTTGGTTTTTGAAGTTTTTCAGCGGGAAGAGCAACTGATCATTCTTCAAAATCGAAGATGTTGCCTTCAAAACCTTTGGTTGATTTGATATAAAATTACCCTAAACCTTTTTCTCTCATCTTGGAAGAACATATTCAAGAAATGTGCTGAAATAAGGAACTCTTAATTAAGGTTAATTAAATTTTGTTACCATTAACCATAAGAGCTCTTGGTGGTTAGCTTGTATAATTGGAAAAAATGAGAGAAAATTAAAGTTAGTTTTTTTTTATCCGAATAGACATGCAAATTTTTTTTATTATCCAAAACCTAAGGTAGATATATTGATAATTCATAAAGGTACAATATTGAGGAAAGTTCAGCCTGTTACTGGTACAGATCAAACTTATACCCTAACCAAAGAAAAAATATTGGAATCAAAAAATTAAAAAAAAAATAAATCAAAAAACTAACTTATTTCCATTTGTTATTTAGTTTCAAAAATTATAAAAAAATTAAAATATAAAAATAAAGTTTTTATAACTTAGGTATATATTTTTAGTTATTACATACATAATATGTTTTATTTTTAAAATAAAACCGTTATTTTTGATATGTAATGATATTTTTAAAAAATGTTTACAATTTGTGCATCATTTCTTCACTCAAACTTTTGGTAAATATTGTGCTACAACATTGATGAAAAAGACTTCATGTGATCCATCATCTAAAAGGTATTTAAAAGAACTTTAAAACAAGCTATTACCCAATGCTCTGTGACAAGCAGTTCCTGAGGTATATCTGTTTTTTTAAGAGGCAAATTGGTAAATTTCTTGATTTTCAAAAATCCATAAAAAATACTGTTCAAAAAAATTTAAAATATTGTTTCTTCGAGTTTTTCAATGAGAAGACCAACTGTACCAAAATTAATCAAAATTGAAGATGGTGCCTTCAAAACCTTTGGTTGATTTGATATGAAATTATTCATAACATTTTGTAAATTTTAATAATTTTGGATATTTTATATTTTGATAATTTGTTTTTAAATTTTTTAATTCGGTAGCTCTGTGCGAATTTGTCCTACCTTTATTGATGTTTATGCTGCTGTGTAATGTTTTAATATCGTTTTAAAATGTCTAAATAAGCATTGTCTAAAAGTAGCCTAAAACCGTCTTGAATGTCCTTAAGGTATGACCAATGGAACTGCAAGAACTTCAAAGCCCACTCAAACAAAAAGATCTACCGCGAGACGGCTTTGATGACATCGTTCGCCACCTCGGCGCTCCTGCACACGATCGCGACCGCTTGCGCTCGCGGTGACCTGCCCGACATCTGCAAGTGCGCCGTCCACGTCAAGCCGCCGTACGGGGCGGCGTGGCGATGGGGCGGCTGCAGCGACAACGTCAAGGCGGCCACGCGCTTCGTCAAGCGGTTTTTGCAGCTGAACAAAGCGGGCGACGCTCGGACTGACTTGGAGAAGTACAACGCCAGGCTGGGGTTGATGGTGATCGCCAAAAACGAGGAGAAGATCTGTAAATGTCATGGGATATCGAGTAAGTTGGATTTTAGTTTTTATGTGAGCCACTTATTTTTAACGTCCTTTTTATATTATTCATATTAAATCACTGTCCTTTTTAAAGGACTTTATTAATAAGTATACCATACTATTTAAGCTATCATATTGTGATTCATTGTTACTTACAGATAATTTAACGCTTTTTAAAAGAGCCTTTAAGAAATTCTCTCTAACTTGATTCACCTTGTTGGTATCAGCCAGGGTGGAAGAAGAAGGTGATATAGCTTCTATATCTACAATACAGAAGCAAGCGTTCAGATAAGTCAGTATTTCGTTTGTTGTTCGTTAGATGGCGAGTCAACTAAGAACCTAAGGTTTTACCAACGAAATCCATATATTCTATAACAACTTAACTTTTAACAACAAATTATAAGATAACGAAAACTCAAGGAGAATCTTCTACCCTCCTTATCGAAAATTACATCTTTTCTTACAGCATTATTATAATAATTTGCATAACGATTGGCAATACTGTAGTATTGCCAACTGTTCTGCCAAAATGCACAGTCGCCACAAACGCACAAAAGTGACGATGAAATGGTTTTATTTGATTTAATTAAGCTGCAATTTTACTAAAAATTGAAAAAGTTTGTTGGGCACCGGGATTAAAACAGGTTCCACGTCAATGCGCCATCTATTGAGAATTTTAACAAATACTGAGTTATTTGGCTTTTTTTCGGGATGAAGATTTATCACCTCCTTCTTCCACCCTGGTATCAGCTCTAAAAGTCATTATTTTTTTACTTTTTCCACATATTTTTGAAAATATTAAGTGAATGGCTTGTCTTACCGAAAAATTTTCTACAAAAAAGTCCTTACCTTTATATCGCTAAAGTACACAGTTTAAAAGATATGATGATATGATATGATGATATGATGAGTCATATTGTGAGCAGTTTATTATTTAAAAATTTGAAGAGATTAATTTTTCTTAAATTCGATTCCATGACTATTAAATATCTTGTAAACTGTGCACTATAGTGATATAAATATCGGAACTTTTTTGTAGGGAATAAAATTTTATACAACTTTTGCCTTTAAAATTGTTTGGTAAAAAAAGTTAAAAAAAATACTTTCGGAGCTGATACCATCAAGGTGAATTTAGTTAGAGAAAAATACTCTATAAGTAACAGTAAACCACAATATTATAGCTTAAAATCCGGCAAAGATATAGAAATTTAAAAAAATGCTTTTTAAATGGAAAAATTCAAAATGAAAAATGAAGTACTTAAAATCAAAACTAAGGGCTCAAATATTAAGGGGAATTTTTTTTTCGATGTTTTGAACAATATTTTGGAGTTTCGGTGAAAAACAAAAAATAGTCGTTTTAAATTAAACACCCTGTTGCTGATAGCAATGGAGATGCCAAATTTAAAAATAAAAAATTTCTAGGTGATAGTGTAATCAAATGAGAGCAAAAAAGCGACAGCCAATTAGAGATGCGACTTGAAAAAAACGGGCCGTTTTTTTTTTCAGGTTTTTTTTCATTGTTTTTTTTTCAAATGGTTTTTTTTCAAAATTAGTCCCGTTTGCCTATTTTTTTTATGTTTCCAGTCCAGTTCATGGACTAAAATTTGCCTCTAAATGACAATTAGTAAATGTAAGTGCTATGCACGCGCCACCACCAGCGAATTGACCAATAAGGGCCGCGCTTGTTTTGATTTGGTCCTAAAAAAAGTAACTACATATAATATTTTTGATTCAGCGTTTAATTTTTCAAAAAGCACTTTTTTCATGATTTTTTAAATTCATGTGAAGTATGGATTAAAAAAAAAAACAATAGCAAATTCTTGTAGAACATTTATTCATTGGTGGTTAAGACAGAACATTCCGTGGACCAGAAAGCAAAAAAAAAATCGATTTTTTTATGACGGTATTAATTAATTTTTTGTATTAGTGTAGAAGTTTTACATTGCTACTGGTTTCTACTGTTGAAACTACCAAATAATAAGAAATCATTTTTAGTCTCGGTCAAAATTTTAAATAATGAAAAATTTAATATATTCTACATTTCACTTTATTATTAATACCTATACATTTTACTCAAAATTTCATTTTGAAAAAAAAACAAAAAACACACATCACACATCTGAAAAAAAAACCGTTTTTTTACATCTCTACAGCCAATACCGAGAGCTCTCGCCTAGGTTAAAGTAGGAGCTTTAAAAATTACTAGGAGACGATAGAACATTGTAATCTTAAAACTTTTAAAAAATTTTGTCCGACTTTGTTTACTAACCTTTCAAACAGAAATGTCATACTTCAGGACGCCAATGTTTTAAAGTAAAAATTAAAGAAATAGTTCTATACCCCAGAGCCAAAATCTCTAGCAACCACTACAAAATTCCACTCTAGCGGGATTATCTTCCAGCTGCAGGTGCTGCCATCGCGTAAAATGAATGTCCTTCATATCCCGCTGAACTGTGAACGGGAAATTCGCGTGCAACTTCCCTTATGCTCTTCCTACTATTTGCATCAAAGGCATTGAAAATAGCTTCTTTATTTTCCGATGTTCTAATACGTTAAGGAGCACCTTCAATTTCGTTACAACGCATAATAACTTTACAGTCCAGGGGACGATCGGGAAAGCGCTGGGAAAAAATCGGGCTGCCTTCCTAGCATTGCGCCCATACTCCCCATAAATAATTATCATTTCGCCATAATCAGAGGAAGAAAGTAGTGTCACAATGCATCCTAAGTATCCTAGCAATTTAAAGAATTCTCTATAACATGAATTGGGATTGGCTCTCGTTTTTTATTCTTATCTGGGTTATCCTTTGCGTTAGATAATTTTAATTTTACATAACTTTCGGCACGTTCCCTTTTTCTCTAGGGCGCGAGTTCTGGGACCCTGTATAAAAATTACCTATTTAAAGATTTAACAATGTTTTTTTTATACAATTGTGGACCACCTCACTGGGTAATATTGTAAATATAGCGAAAATATGCATCATCATTAGAATTTAGATAAAATATCCGGGTCCTATTTATAATTAAAAATCTTAGATTCATGTATAAGAACTTAAAAAACAGTTAATTTTGCTGTTAAAGACTCTTGCACACACAGAACCTGCTGGAAACGTCTGAAACCGTACGACGTAGTGCCGAAAATCTTGAAAATTTACTACCACAGCGCCATCATCGTGTCGACCACCAAAGCTCCGTCCGAGGTGGACTCGCACAAATGGAAACTGCGCTACCTCCACGAAAGTCCGAACTTCTGCCACTTGACCGTCGGCCGGCCTTGCAAGAGCAGAGAAAACTGCGCGACGCTTTGCTGCAGCAGAGGAACGCACCCGCCGATCGTCAAGCAGAAGTCTTTTTGGTGTAATTGCAACATGAGCTCGAGCATAGATGTCACTTGCAAAGTTTGTTCCGAGAACAAAACTGTCTTGATTTGTAAATAAAATATATAGAAAAAAGGATGCTGTTTACTTGTTTACTTGTTTGGTGGGGTTCCCCGTGCATAGGTGGCGCCACTGAAAAGTTTCTTTCATATACTTACCACGTAAGTATGTTTCTTTGTAAATTTTTTTTGCATTTTTAATAAAATTGGCTTAATTTTACAACTTTTAACCTGTTAAAAACAACATTGGAAAGTTTGTTTGCAATGTACAGGGTGGTCCACTAAAGGAGACCATACTTATCTCAGAAACTACTGGAGTCACAAAATATTTGTAAGGGAGAAATATTCACGTAGTAAAAAATATTTTTAAAATATTATATTTTCATTACGATACCAACTATCTTATTTTCAATTTAACACCCTGTATTTTTTTGCATTTTTAGATTCTACACACTATTTTAGGTATACGAATATTAATTAGAAAAATGTTAATACTTTTTGAGTAAAATTAAAATTTATCAAAATTTGTCTAAATTTAGACATTTGCTAAAAGTTAAAAATAACCAACTAAAACTTATTATTTTTTATATTATGTAGTATTTATCTCTGTAATAATAACCAAGCTATAAGTTAAATCTTTTTTTTTATAAAATATTATACAGGGTGTTTTCTATGCTCCGTTGAAAATAGCGATTTTAAAGGTTTAAAATCTTGTTTTGCTCTATGTATATATAAATATATATTATTATAATAATAATTACCATACGCATAAAGCTACTAATTGTGAAAAATGCGAATATTTTTTTTTCTGTTGGGTTTAGATATAGAACATATATATATATAAAGAAAGGATATTATATATTTTATCCAATTATGTAAAAATATATAGGGTGTTTCATTAAAAAAAACAAGATTTTAAACTTTTAAAATCGCTATTTTCAACGGAGAATAGAAAACACCCTGTACAATATTTTATAAAAAAAAAAGATTTAACTTATAGCTTAGTTATTATTAAAGAGATGAATACTACATAATATAAAAAATATTAAGTTTTAGTTGGTTATTTTTAACTTTTAGCGAATGTCTACATTTAGACAAATTTTGATAAATTTTAATTTTACTCAAAAAGTATTAACATTTTCCTAATTAATATATTTACAAAGTATAGGTACCTACCTAAAATAGTGTGTAGAATCTAAAAATGCAAAAAAATACAGGGTGTTCCATTGAAAATAAGAAAGTTGGTATCGTCCCACGGAAAATATATTTTTCTACGTGAATATTTCTTCCTTGCAAATTTTTTGTGACTCCAGTAGTTTCTGAGATAAGTATATGGGTCACCTTACGTGGACCACCCTGTACATGCATATAAGATAAGGCTTTTTCCAATTTTTAATATCTTTTTACGATTTTTATTATCTTATTTATTTCATCTTCCTTCTCTGATTCTATTAAGTATTGGCTGTTCATACAATTTTCCTTCAGTATCTAATCTATGGTATCTAGTAGGTCTTACGATCTTGGATCAGTCAGTAGCTTTGTGCTCTTGTTTAGAAAAGCGACTGGTGGATTTTGGGCACACCCATATCTTAGTTATTACTAATAACTTATTAGACATGGGACCCACATCAAATTTATATGAGTTTATAATGACATTATATAGACAAGTTTTGCGCAAGCAGAATTTAAATTGAAGTTTGCGAAAAAAAGTTAGTTTTTAAGTGTGCCCCCCCAGCCTCCTGCCCCCCTAAATTAAGATAATTCAAATTATAGTGGTACAATATTTTATTCACTCAAGTTTATCGACAAATTTTAAATTTATTTGGCAAACTTTAATTTAAATTCTGCTTGCGCAGAACTTGTCTATATAATGTTATTATAAACTCATATAAATTTGATGTTGGTCCCATGTCTAATAACTGAGATATGGATGTGCCCAAAATCCACCAGCACTTAGCTTAAATGAAGACAAGCTGAAACGTTGACACCCAGGCTGCCTGGTTGTTATTTTACCATGTTATCATTTTAGTTTGTTGTCATTTTAGATTATAATTATTTTAGTTTGTTGTTATTTTAGCTCTACGTCATGTTAGCTTATCATCACTTTTGTTTGTTGTCATTATAGCTTAACAGCATTAAGGGTTGTCGTTATATTAGCTTGTCATTATTTTAATATGTCATCATTTTAGTTTGTTCTTATTTTAGTTTTTTGTCATTATATTTTAACATTATTTAAGCTTATTGTTATTTTAACATGTCATCATTTTGGTTTGCTATCATTATAGCTTTACATCATTTAAGCTTGTCGCTATATTAGCTTTACATCATCTAACTTTGTCATTATTTTATCATGTCATTATTTTAATTTGTTGTTTTTTAGGTTTAAGTACGTCATTCAAGCTTATAATTATTTTAGTTTGTTGTCATTTTAGCTTTACATCATTTAGGCTCGTCATTGTTTTAATGTGGCATCATTTTAGTTTATTGTTATTTTAGTTTTAAGTCATCTTAGCTTATCGTCATTTTAATTTGTTGTCATTATAGCTTCACATCATTTAGGCTTGTCGTTATATTATTATTATTTTAATATTTTATTTGTTGTTATCTTCATTTTACTTTGTTGTTATATTAGCTTGTCATCATTTTCGCTATACATCATCAAACCTTGTTATTATTTTAACATGTTATCGTTTTAATTTGATGTCATTTTAGCTTAGCATTATTTTAGCTTGTTGTCATTATAACTTTAAATCATTTAGGCTTGTGGTTATATTAGCTTAACATTTTAGCTTAACATCATTTTAGTTTGCTGTCATTATAGCTTTACATCATTTAAGTATGTCGTTGTTTTAGTTTGTCATCATTTTTACTTTACATCATTTATCCTTGTCATTATTTTAACATGTCAAAATTTTAGTTTATTCTTATTTAAGCTCTTTGTCATTTTAGCTTAACAATATTTTAGTTTGTTATCATTATAGCTTTATCTCATTTAAGCTTGTCATTATATTAGCTTGTTATCATTTTTGCTTCTTGTTATTATAATTTTACATTGCTATTTTAGTTTTACGTAATTTTAGCTTATTATCATTTTAGTTTGTTTTCATTGTAGCTTTAAATCATTTAAGCTTGTTTTATTATTAGCTTGTCATCATTACTGCTTTACATCATCTAACCTTAGTTTGTTGTCATTTTAGCTTTATATAGTTTAAGCTTGTCGTTACATTAGCTTGTCATTATTTTAGATTTACATAATTTATGCTTGTCGATGTTTTAACTTTTCAATGATTTCTTTTTTTGTTTCTTTAGCTTTTGTATCATTGAAGATTGTCGTTATTTATAATATAATATAATCTTGCTCTGCCTAATAATTAAATATTTTCAATTTATATAAATCGGTATAAACCTTGTATTTTTATTAATTTTAAATCATTTTCAATTCGATGATTTTTATGATTAGTATTGATTTTTATGATTAGTAAGTAAGTAGTACTTCATCAACATCCGAAACTCTGTTATATAAATGCTGCGCCTCCAGTGTTTACCAACCACTAACCTACATCAAGTTACATTCATTAATCGAATTGGGAACTGCAAAAATCTCCCAAAATCCCCATGAATCAGAGGCTACTAACCTACATTTTACGGCCATTGATACCGCCTCCGTCTAGTGGTGTTTTGGTTGTGCGATCAGAAAGGTTCTTGAATCTTTCAGACCCCACCGTGATCAATATATTGCGCATGGCTTTTCAGTTTCAGGAAAACAAGAAACTCAGTGCTAGCGTAGCGGTCGAGCACCATGCTACATCCTCAACTTTCCGGCTAACTTTCCAAAAGTTGAACGTCTATCTATTAAAATTTTCACCTTCTTCTTTAAAATTCACTTTAATAAATCTTTTCTGAAAGTGCCCTTCCAACCGCTTATTTATTTTATAATGACTACCAAACAAGTTTTTAAGTTTGTTTTCAATAAATTTTACAAAAAACTAGTTTCTAAAGTGATGTATATAAATAAAGCAAACTAATAAATATATCAGTATTCATCCAAATATATAATTGTTAATATTATTATTACGCACAGTATTCGTATTACGCTCACAAAAGTGTTTTTGGATTTTGAGAAGAAACTAAAACAAGGTAAGTTTATTAAAAAGATCATTTCACAATGTTAGAAATCCATAAACCGTACTAAAATACTTTTAGTGGTTACTATTTATGCATTACAAAAGACATTAAACTTTGTTAGAGTAATAAAAATAACAAAAAGGAACATTCGATGTAGCCTTAAGGACATTTGTTAACTCTCTTAAACTTTTACGAAAGTAAAGCAACTTTTTTAGAAAAAGCTCATCAAAACTAAGTCTGCACACTGGTTTACTGGCTCCACAAATCAATGATCCTTACAGAATACTGATCTCCTTACACAGGTATCTGAAATGAACCTTTTTAAGAAGATAACATACATTGTTTTTGAAAGGGTTTATTTAGACGTTTATTCACCTGGTGGATTAGATCCACCATTTAAAGCTTAAAAGGCATTCGAAAAATAACAGAAACTTTAGCTAATGATGCAAACGTGTTTCCGCCCACTATTAAATTTAATTTCAAACCTGATTTCAATATTGCAAAGTTTGTAAGCTCGTGAAATTCCTAACGAGGCATTACAGGATTCTAATCATATAGTAGGAGTTTCAAACACTATTCCAACAAGTAACATCCTGCAAATAAGAAGTTTATATGTAAGTACGAGTTTCCTTACATTAAAACTTGTTATTTACAATTACAAAATGTTTACTTTTCAATTAAAATAAGATTCTTTTAGAAACATCAAATATAATTTAAAGAAGTTTTTGATCTTTTCGGTTATTAATTACTAGTTAATAGGTACTTCACTAAAAAAAATAATCTTAAAAGAAATGAAAATCACTTTAATTCAAAATATTTGCGCTTTTAAATAGGGCCAAAAGCTATGTTTCTAAATCTAAATCATCAACTATCTTTACATACATTTTTTTATTTTACTAGATGTGAGAGATTTATCTATTCGTTTAAGGATATTACAATATTAGCGTAAATCAAGAGCAAGCGATTTCTTAGTACAAGAACCAAAAATATTTCTTCGGAAGATATT